GTGGTCGTGGTTGTTGTGGTTGTCGTGGTTGTTGTGGTTGTTGTGGTTGTCGTGGTGGTCGTGGTTGTCGTGGTGGTCGTAGTGGTCGTGGTCGTGGTCGTGGTCGTGGTGGTTGTGGTTGTTGTGGTTGTTGTGGTTGTTGTGGTGGTTGTGGTTGTTGTGGTTGTTGTGGTTGTCGTGGTAGGTGTGGTGGTGGTGGTTGTCGTGGTCTTCGTCGTCGTGATGGCGGCGGTGGTCGTGCTGGGCGGGGTTGTGCAAGTAGTGCAATACTCCCGGAAGAAGCCACCCAGGCCTGTGCTGTCCAAGAGTGCGTTGGCACACGGACCGAAGCACTGCCTCCGCTTGCCACCAGCCCCAATCCTGCAAAGGTGTCCCTTGCATATCTGATTTGCCTTGCCCTTGGAAATGTCACTTGGGCAGAACTGGGATTCGACGGTGCTGATGATGCGGTCGTAGCCCTCGTCGCTGTTACAGACGTCAACGCAGTCGCTAGGTTTCTGGAAGACGAGGGGATCGTTGCCGTTCACGGCGCCCTTGCAGTACTCGGCGCAGAACCTGAGAGTCGAGTGACCCCAGCAAGACTTTGACGCTTGTAGAACCTACCAGGACCCTTTGGCAGGACTCCGGTTTCGGGTCTTCTCAGACGCACCGTGGAATGAACATCGTGCATGCGAAAAGGCATATGTATTGCTACTACCCGGTGGCAAGAAAGTAAGTCGGAAAGTCATTCGGTGGTTGATGACGGCACTAGGTGAGTGAGCAGGTATCGCCTGAGCACATGCTCACCATGCTGTATTATTCAGGTGGGTTCAGGGTGTAGGGTTCTAGAGTTAAGGCGTATGGTCTTAGAGCCTTGGCTTCCCAAGCGATCCGGCAAGCAAGAAAGCCAGAAGAAATCGAGGGAGCAGGTACGCACAACCTCCGGCTCAGAAGGCTACTTACCGGCAAGCACTTCAGCGGGACCACGATCCGAATTAAAGCTTGTCAGTCCCCTCGCTGTCAAGGCACCCAGCTCGTTTGCAGGGATCCGAATCGTCGACGGGCACGGAGTAACAGTCGTCGCAGTACTCTTCGAGGATGTCGTCCACATCGCCGAAAGCCGTGGCACATCTTTGCTCGCATCCAGAGCATCCATCCTGCACGCATCTGCACGCGCCCCCCGAGGCTTTGCGGATCGGACCCTTCGGACCGAGCCTGAACATTCTGGTCGCACTCGAGGCTCTGGCACAGCAAAGGGCAGTAGTAACTGGAGTCGCCTCGGTGAGAAGCGGCATGGCACGGGATGGTACCGGGGTCTCTGAGTTCGGCGTGCGGCTTGCAGGCTGAGCGGCTGCACTCTTGGCCCTGGCAGGAGTCCTTGAAGTCGCAGAAGCCCCGCAGCCCGGGGGCCACCTTCGACTCGAAGAGGGGCTTGCAGAGGCTCTGGCAGGCGCTAGCCTCAAGGCAGAAGAGGCGACGCGGCGACGTCCCTCAGAAAAGCTTTTGGGGCACCGACGCCGATGGAGGGGAACACGAGGTTGTCGCCACAGATGGACTCACAGAACCTAGGCGAGAACGGAAGTGACCCGGAGACCCCTCGGCTCGGAGGGGCATAGCGACGCACAGCGCATTGAGCCGAGCGGCCCTCCAGATGAACAGAGCTTCCGGCCGGAGGGAGGAAGAATCGGATCTTGCTCGCAGGAATTCTCGGAGATGGCCTTCTTGTCATCCAGCGTGGCGGTGTCTGGGAGGGAGCAGATGTCCAAGATGCAAGACCGGAGCCGCTGGTCTTGCTCGGTCACGGGCGTCTCACTGTACTCGGCGTTCGGAAGGCAAACTTTGCAGAGGCCCTTGGCCTCGTTGAAGGGCTCAGCACCCCCGCAGACGCGCTCCGGCGGAGGGCCCGGGAATGGGTCCTCTGGAGAAGGCTTGTCGCAAATACAGAGCATGTCGCTGAGCTTTGCACGATGGTCGCAGGTAGCTCCGTGCTTCTCAAATATATCAACCGGATCCAACGTGCAGCTCGTGCGGGCAATCTGGTCCCACACAGCCACGCACTTCGAGCCGATGTCCTCGCAGTACTGTTTGCAATTGCTGCTTCCACCAGGTCCCTTCGTCCTGACATACGCCATGCAATACTCTCCGTTGTTGGTGAGCTCGAGGTACTTGGTGAGGTTGTCCGCATCTGGAGCATCCCCGTCTTGCGGGAGCATGTCCTTCGTGCACTCGAAGCTGTTGAGGTTGGTGGACTGGCTCATGAACTCGCAGCCGGGACCTCTGAGCTCCAGCACTTCGGGCGAACTTCGGGCGTCGGAGAAACCAAGGTGTAAAGAAAGCCTTAAGAGCCTTTCTGCCGGGATGCTGGTCGGGGCGGCGCTAGGACAACCGAGTGGGGCCGGCGCGTTTGGCTCCGTGCAGGCACCGCACATCTCAGCCAGCTGCTCCTCCGTGAACAGCACGTCGGCATCATCGTACGAGACAAGCCTGAAAGCGGTGGCTCGCACGGCTCGGCGTGGTGGAAAAAGGGTTCCGAGAGGCCGGGATTCTTCTGAGGTCCGAGATGCTGATCGCGCAACTCGGAGGCACCACAGATGCCATCCTCGCAATGAGATGCGGGCCGCGA